AGAGAGAGAGAGAGAGAGAGAGAGAGAGAGAGAGAGACAGGGTAGGGGGATGTGACCGCCGACCACAGAGAGAGAGAGAGAGAGAGAGAGAGAGAGAGAGAGAGAGAGAGAGAGAGAGCCACAGGGTATCAGCGAGTGTTGCTGTGCGCCATGGCGTAGCCGTGGCCGGGTCCACTTGTTTGGACTAAAAGTAGTAAAAATTCTGACATGCTGGCATCCATCGAGGTGCATTCTGAGAGTTGCATCATGGTTACTTTTGTTTTCGCATTGTCTCTTCGTGCATGGTTGCTTTGGTAAGACCTTGGCTAGCCTCTGAGTCAGTAGAAATTCTGGCTACCTTGTTCCCTTGAATACAATGTACGGTCATTATAGCTGTATTTGAGGCATGTTTCAGTCTACATACAGAGCTATAATGACCGTACGGTGTATTCGGGGGAAGAAGTTAGCCTTTGCAACTCTCAGAATGCACCCTGATGGATGCTAGCATGTCTCGATGGATGGTTCTGCATGTCTTCACTTTTGACAGAATGCACCTTCAAGTTGACGGATGTATGCACGTGTTGTTGGGAGAATGCACCCTGGCAGATTTCTGGGAATTTCGATGTGTATGCCAGCGTTTCTTGATGGATATCCGCACGACTTGAGGGATGTTCTGCATGCCTTGGTGGTGCAGAATGCACCTTAAACCGCCGGTACATGCCAGCTATCAGCGGCAGGTCCCCTTTCGGAGGCCCCTTGCACCACCGATTCATTTTATCTACGGCGCTCGGCCTGCTAAATTTCCGGAGTGGCTAAAAATAGGTTCTCCAGTTGCCTGGGGCCATTTTGTACCGATGGATGTTTGACGGATGGCTGCATGTTCTGTGACAGAATGCACGTTGAGTGGTTGTCTGCATACCTTGGCAGATGCACGTTCACGTTGGTAGACGTCTGCATGTGGCCGCATACAGCAGTGTGTGCATCTCTCAGTAGAGATCATGTAACTGCCTGCCTTTCTCATTCAGGTGCATTCTGGCTCTCCGGTATTTGCGTGCCAATTGACCGAAACTGTCGTATTACTGCTGGCACTATGAGTGGCTATCACATTCAAGTCTGCATAGGGGTACCTGGTTGGGGGATCCTATGTGGGGGGTTTGTGAAGCAGTGTGTTTTTTTTTTTTTTTTTTTTTTTTTTTTTTTTTTTCGTGTGTGTGTGTGTGTGAAGCACTCCAGTCAGTGGACTTTGACTGTTTTAAGCGGGCAATTGCTGCTGTTGTTCTATGATAGTGTGATGTGAGGACTTGGCGGCAGTTTTCAACGGCACTATGCCATGGTTACTTGTCTTTATGCCTTGAAGATTAGCTGAATCTCCTGGCCTGTAATTGAAGGTGATGTTGCAAGTTCTTCTTTCACTGCTACCAGTAGACGAAAAGTACATTCAACGGCGCGATGACATGCACTGCTGATCAATGTATGCTAACAGCAGGAAGGTTGTCTTTTTCATTTTAAAATTAGAAAATAAATAAATAAATGTAGCACCTGAAAGTATTTCGTTTGTTGTGTTGTGTTCAAATGATCTTTCTGGCGCTTGCAGAGTGTTGATGTCCTCAATGACCCAATCAACTGCCCAGTGCGGTACCCAACTCTCAATCTCAACGAGTCGTCGATATTGATGGTTACTGGTAAAATGGGTTTTCCAGATCCGCATGACTGGGACAAGGAATTGAATACAGATGCGCTCATCAAGTTTTTTGCCCCACCTCTGGGTGTCACCGTCCTTGTCAGCTTCATCTTTGGTGCGTTCACTACAGGGAGTGAAATCATCTGCCCCTCCTAGCTCCTCGCAGCCCCTTTGCTTGTCCTTTTCCCGGGACCTCTTCCGGATGACATTGTAGCACTTCTGTCTACATCTCCCACCTGCCCTTCGCCCTCTTGCACAGCTCCCTAATTCTGGTGAAGTAGTTCTGATTTTCAACTCCAACTCCTTTTGCGCAATTTGGTGTGTGCTTTATCCAGCTACTGAAAGGTGGAGGTGGGGAGAAAGACCTCACTTCTCCAGCGACTGAAAGGGTTTGAATTTAGAATATTATTATATTACATGTTATGTTAAGTTGAGGAATTTCACAGTGAGCCCCAATCGACCCCAATCGACCCCAATCGACCCCAATCGACCCCTCCTCCCCAGCCCCCCCCCTTTTTCTCTAAGTGTATAATATGTCCTTCATGCTGAAAAGGTCATCCCCTCGGCGTAAAGCTCCGGGGTGTTTTCAACCCGGAGTTCCCGAACATCATAACTTGTGGGCGCATGACAAAGGCAGGAACGGACTCTTATCTATTGAATGTTGTCATCGTAGCCCTCAACTGCGCTTATTATTTGCACCCCTTGGGCCCTTGTCGTATCCTGAGCTTCAACCTGTTCCAGGCTAAGCCTTGGGAGCCCTGCTTGGCTGCGAGTGTAGTTGAATTGAGAGTGTTGTCTTTTCGAGTGCTTGTTTTTTTTTTTTACCAAAGTGATTGTGGGGCAGGTTGTTCAGATGGACCTGTGTTGCTTATACGGAGAGTCCTTTTTCTCAGCTTTCTAGTCTGTGCACACTGCACGGGCGTACGCCTGTGTTCCATCATCATTCCCTGTCGCAGACGAAGGCAGTGTTTTCTGCGATGAGGATGTAAGGAATCAACACACTATGATGCAGGACGGGGTGATTCCATTTGTATATCACCCTTAGTTAGCAACTGTCGCTTCATCAGTGCCGCCGAGATTCCATTTGTATAACACCCTTAGTTAGCATAGCGGCTTTGTTTTAATTGATTGCTTTGATTCGACTGCTCCCCCATTCCCCAGATTATCCTCCCATATTCCTACCCCACGGTCCTGTTCCTTCCGTGGTCTGCTGTGCACGCCATATGGAACCCTTGTCTGGTGCAAGCAGGGGAGCTCGAGGCTCCTGCTGACAGCGGGTGCACTGCTGCTATCAAGACTGGTGTGCTGCTTTCAAGGCGGGGTCCGCTTTCCTAAAGCCAGTTGCACTGCTGCCCATAAACTGCCGAGAGCCTCCGTGTGCCGGCTGAAAGGCACCACCTACTGTCGGATTGGTCGTCATCTGAGTACTTGCACTGCTGCCGGCAAACTGCCAAGAGCCTCCGTGTGCCGGCTGGCAAGCACCACCTACTGTCGGATTGGTCGTCATCTGAGTACTAGCCCCACTTGCGCGCGACTGCCTGACCCATCCTGCCTTTCCTTACCGCTTTGGGATTTTGTCCGGATGGATTTGGAATTTTGGAATCTTTGCTGTTCATTAGTTTCTGCTTAAAATTTGTGGGATGCATGGAGACATGGGATGGGGCAGGCGGTCGGGCTATTATTATGCCCCCTATCTTTAAATTTCGCTACACAGCCCCTCTTATTAAATTTTGCTGTAATGGGCCCGGTTCGTCAAAGACAAGTGGCAGGGACAGTATAACTGACAGTTATACCTCCGGCTCTCCCATGTCCGGTTTCGTTGGACGTATCGTATAAACTTCAACGGTTCAACCCCTGCCCAAAATCCTTGGCCGTAACCTGACTCGTCACTGTATCCGTGAAGTAACAGAACTCTTTGCAGGGCGAGAGGTTTTTGCTCAAAATCCTTGCTCAAAATCCTTGCTCTCCAGGGGGGTTTGACCGAGGGGACCTGGTCTGATCTACATGTAATTGTTTTATTTAAATTCCTCGACTAGTACCGTAATTAGTTTACGAGACTGTTAGTAAATTGATTTAGTGAAATTGTTTCATCAGTGACTTACAACCCCCAAATTCATACAGCTCTGCAATGGCAGTGAGACTCCTACTCTTTGTGAATTTTGCCTCTTTGAAAGAGATCAGGAAATGTTTAGTTGGGCCTCATTTCAAGGCTGATTCCTAAACTAGTGAGCTGTTGTTTTTAAGGTGTGGATAAGACAAACTGTAACTATGTGATGGTGATTGATGTGCTCTGGTCATGCTTCGATTTGGATATTATGCCGATTTCGATTGATGATTGATTGACAGCTAAACACACATTGCTGGTTCGATCGGTGCAGGTGTGCTCTACCTCGCGCTTTTGCGCATCATTCCAGCCGTGGTCCTCTACTCGACGATAGCCATCATGGTATGTGCTTCCTTATTCATGATCGATTCCAAGTTGCCAGTGATTCTGGATCGGAGTAACTGTTATCTTCTGAAAGAGGAAGGGATATAAATTTATAATTTAAAAACAAGAACTGTAGGAAGTTGCTTGGCTACTAGATAAGACCATTGAGCCAGCACCACTCCCTTTCAGATAAAGGGATATAATATTATAAAACAAAGAGCTGTAGCAAGTTGCTTGGCTACTAGATAAGACCATTGCGCTACCACTCCCTTCTGGAAAATCAGGCCCAACCCTGGTGGCAGTGAAACAAATCTGTGCCTGTCAGTTTTTTCAATCAAACGGGGCAACTGAAAAACCCTAAAAAAATACCAGGTCTTCTGGTAATAGCGGAGGTTGTAAGCAGTAGTGGCGACTCAGCACTCAGGGCAGTGAGGGATCTATTCTTTTGGCTTTGCGTTGCAGTTGTATGTTCCATGCACTATTTGAAATCGGACGCCTGACCTTTGTCCATGATCAATTTAAGTATTGGAGAGACTTGCACTAGGCCAAGGAATCTCCGATCGAAATACTTCTTGATTTGATTTTGCTTTACGAAATGCCACACTCGATGGCACTTATGGATTGTTCCAAAAGCCAGAGTCATGCAAAGTGATTAAATTGAAACTATGTGTATGTGGAGTGATTGGAGCACAGAACGTAAGATCACTGCCTTTCTTTTTCCACAGTGATCTTTCAGCTTCCCACTTTCATTGATTTCACGCGCAGTGTGTTTTTTTGGTCGAGTTCCGGATACACAAACAAAAACCAATAGTACTGGCAACGTATCCTGCATAAATACAAGGAGGATGTATAGCCAATACGGGGTCTTGTAGTACAGGGTTGAATTCTTTTCCCGAATCAGTGCTAGGATAATGGGAATGATTGGCGGATAATGGGAATGATTGGATCTTGTTGAAGTCGATTCACTGGCAACTAATATCTGGCATTTAACCCAGAAGCATTCTCAGTTGTGGAATCTAAGTGTCTGCGAAATGGTTATATCCGGGGGATCGAATCTTGGAGCAATCGATTGACTAGCAGCTGCTCATTAAAAACTTGACTCTGTGGAATTGAAGACTCATTTGGTTAAGTGACTTTTGAGTTTTAACCAAGTTGGGACCTTACTAGGATGTGTATTACGTGCTGGAATTGCAGGTGGTTGCCCCGGCTGTGCTTGGGGTGATAGCGTACAATTATGTCGATCTTCGTCAGCTGGACACCAACCAGGTTATGATGGCAGGGGGGGGGCTGGCAGGGGTAACCCTCGTCGAGTTGTTGTTCTTTTACTTTGCCAGGAGGTAAGGAACTCGATCGCTAGCTCAAAACATAACTTTCACAGTTTCACTCATTTCAGACATTCGGAGTAATATGGTTGAATCATCTTGAATCATTTGAATGTTGAAAGTGGAACAAATTGCCTCTGTTTCAGAATAGCTGCTGAAGCAGTGTCATCATCACCTTAATGCAAGAAATTCCACAGGCATCTCTCTCTCTCTCTCTCTCTCTCTCTCTCTCTCTCTCTCTCTCTCTCTCTCTCTCTCTGTGTGTGTGTGTGTGTGTGTGTGTGTGTGTGTGTGTGAGTCCTTGTATTGGATGGGGTAGCAACCTGTTTCACCATTCACGAATTTCACCAAATTGGACAGGGAGGAGGTGAATTTTTGACGAGGGGAAAAGAAAATGCATAGACATTGATCGAATCAAACCCTTTGTGTTATGCAATTTTGCTAACAGGGGAACCCATGAAAGGGGCGTTGGATATGATTGAAAACGACACTTTGACCCTTTGCATGAAGTGGATTGTAAAAGATCGTGCGTCCTGACCTCGCCTCCTCCCCACCCCCCCCGCCCCACCCCCCCAAAAAAAAAACAAAAGAGGCAAAAAGAAAGACAACAAAAAGGATTGGGGATCCTGCCACTGGAATGTATAAGGCAACTGGCTTGCTTGCATTGAAACTTTCTTCATTATGTGAGACTTTTTTCCGCATGATGAGTCTGATGACTAAATTCCCAAAATTGGGAAACAGGTTGTTAACTTATCGTGGCAAAGCCGAGGAGCTGATGAAGCATCACATCGCAGCCAAATTCATCCCATCCTACTGGGTCGGCTGAATGTGGCCTTGCTGGCCAATTGATGTGATGCCACCCTTTCAGTAAATTAGTAACTGTATGCCAGAAAAAAAAAAAAAAGGAACACAAATCCTGACAACACAAATATCTGTGAACGGTGGGTGCATAAGAAGACTCGGTACACTGCTTGCTCCTCTGCCGGGAGGCTAGGTGGTAGGTGGTAATGGGACAAAGTGATGGGATTCTGTCACTCTCTCTTCACATCATCATCATCTTCCAAACCCCGCTCTGCAAATCCTCCATATGAATCACATCCCTCCCTTCCACTTTAATATATGTGAGGCTTTGCGTCGACATAGTAAGAATGGCTGCACTATGGACAACATGGCGTATGGATGCCATGGGCCCTTGAGCCATGAACGGGTGGCAATGCACCAGGGCTTGAACCCTGGACCTCAGGGTACCAGGACTTTGTCTGCCCCCCCAGCCTATTGGGCTGCGAGCCATGAGTTTACTGTTCCAGGTCTGAGGCCTACTCAGAAATCCACGGTACCCCCGGCGGTATATTCCTCAGCTATTCCTGAACGTTTTGGTACCTGAGCTTGGACTTCAAGTTTTTGAACGGCTTTTGCACAGCCGGTTCAGTTTGCAATGGGTCTATTGAGAGCCAACCCCAGACAAAGATAGGCTGGGTGTGCGGTGCCAAGCACTGTTCTAGTGCTGGGCTGGATTTACTTCACTTGTTAAGATGTTTTTTTCTCTCTCTTGCTCCTGAAAACTTTGCATGCCAAGTTAGTTGAGTCCATTAATCTGTTTTTGTGCTATGACGATTTCCGTGAATCTACGCGTACTTTCAATCATGTGCGAAAGTCCGGTGATGATTTAGAACCCCATTGTGCAGGAGGACAGACACATCTACTATGCTTTTTTTTTTTTTCGGGAGTAACTGTTGTCTCTATGGATTTCGAGTCTGGGTAATACGGGTCATAGCAAGTATTGCCAGTCAGTATACCGGCGGTGCGCGGTTTTGTATTTATCATAATTTTTGAAGCGCTAAGGATGTGTGTGTGTGTGTGTTGACATTGTTGATGTCTCACAGCAAGGTCGAGCTATCATGCAAGTTACTTGGTGTGGCCGCAGTTGGACTCGATCGGAACATCTCACTGGTATGTATGCCACAGTCTGTTCCAAAGCAGCCATCTAGTACACTCTTGTGCTCATTGGAATGTAATCTGGGACATTGGTCTGAGCAAATCTTCATCAGAGCTAGATGTTGCATCCATCCTCTGCGCACCGTGGTTCTCTTTGTATGACTAATTACTTCATGAAGTTGCTGCATACATGGTGCACTCAGCAAAGATATCCGAACGCCTTTTAACGGGCAGTGGTGTGGGAGGGGCAATCGTGCCAATCGGCACTCTGATTTCGACATGGCCTACATGGAGCATAGAAAATGCCGAGTGAACTTGAGATAAGTAAGCAAGTGGAGACGAGCCCTTGGTATGAAGGTATAACATGAATGAAAGCCATCACCACCCTGATGCGGTCGGTAAGGTGGCTATGTGATTGGGAAAGCAGCAATGAAACAGAGCCTCAGTCGGGGATAGGGATAGGGATGAACCCCAAATCGTTTTCCGATTCTCACCCACCTCCTCCCCCCTGCTCTCTCTCTCTCTCTCTCTCTCTCTCTCTCTCTCTCTCTCTCTCTCTATCTCTATCTATCTATCTATCTTGTCTGTGTTTCGTATGTGTGTTTGTGTGCGACTTTGTATTTGCTCATTTTTCTCCTGCTTGGCTACTTGTCGGGACAGCACGTTGATGCCTGCTTGACTACTTGTCTCCATTGTGGTGCAGCTGTTCTTTGTCCCCGCCTTAAATATACTTCTCCTGATGGTCATTATTCCACTGGCGGGTCTTATGGCTGTGACATACACAAATGGAGAGCTCATGCCAAATCCACTAGTAATGGATGGAAAATGTGGTTTTAACACAGGGCATGCATGCTGCCAATGGAGATATGACAGGTACGTCTCATAAACCATTTCCTGCGTTTCCATGATTGCTAAGTTCCCCGACTGATTATTTCTACCTTGTTTGCTCTATCTACCAAATTATGAGCTTATTACAACTTAAAGTCACAACATTTTTTTCAGCCGAAAGGCAAACTTCATTTCATACCTGATTGACTGATCTCAGATGTTGTCAGTCCAGTTATTGAGAGCAGTATGAGTGTCTGTAGGACAGAACAACGAGGTACGGACTCTGGAGCGATTTAGAACCACCGTAGGTGCCAGACTTCCCATGGAAACGGTGAGCGCTTCTCCCGTGCAGAAGAGTGCAAACCTGTCAAGCCAGCTCAGAGCAGTTTCGCGCTCTGCATCGCGGAGCCACTCACTCATTGACAACCGCATTGCTTGCACAGTCATATTTTCGGAACACCTTTGCTAAACTTGCTGAATCATTCCAACACACCTCATTGAAAGTGAGTAATTATGTCTGGCAGACTGGTACATAGCAAGATATCCAAGTCTTTCAGATCCTGTTTATAATGCTCCCCTGCTTCCTCCCCCCCCCCCCTCCTCCTCCAACAGACGTTGCTACCGTTTTGCAGTTGAAGACTTCAATGACCTCAATTGGCAGATTTTGTCCCCACGCACATCTCCATATGGCATCTTTTCATTTGTTTTCCGTCCTGCGCCCCTTTGTCTATCAGATCCCTTTCGTTATCCGTTTGCTTGCGGGACGTTTGTCATCTTTTCCTGTTGTTTGATCTCAACCCTTTTTTCATCCGTTTTGCTTTTTTTGCGTGCCTGCTTCATTTTTTATTCATCACTTTGTAAACTCTTTGGTTGTCGGATCCATTTCATCGTTCCGTTTCTTGCCTGAGTGAATGTTTTTCGCCTCTCTCCTCTGTTCGTTTAACCTTGTTTTTTTTTTTCCCCCCTGTTTTTTGTCAAAGATTGAATGACCATGGTGTCAATCAATTTTGTCTACTCAATCTCGCTGCCAGGAAAATTTTATGAGGTCCAAGCACATCTATTGGACTTGGACGTCTGTTAACCAACCCTTTTGATTGGCACAATTTCCACGGACTCACTGAGTGCATTGCTTACATCAAAGAATGTCGCTCTGTAAGCAAAGGCCAACGGTATTTCGCACTTCGATTCCATCGGAGCTCGATTCATTAGGTTTGCACTAGCAGCAGACAAGCAGAGTTCTCGCTCGCAACTATCATCTGCTGATTTCGTTTCTTCTTCTTCTTCTTCTTCTTCTTCTTCTTCTTCTTCTTCTTCTTCGTTGTCGTCCCCTTCCGCTTTCCTCCTCCTCTCTCCTTCTGCCAAATCCCCCATTTGTGCATCTGTGCGTGTGTGTGTGTTTTGGAGCCCCTATTCCACCCAGATGAGTAGATCCAAAATCGAAGCAGCTTTAGTCGTATTGCAGACAACGAAAACACTTGAGTTGAGACAATCGAAGAATGAAAGAGTTTTACCTTCATAGCAAGCAGAATGCAGCACAATACATCCGTTGAAATCCCTTTCTTAACTGTAGTTACTTTGGTTTGGTTTGGGGTACCGCTTTTGTTCTTGCAGCTCCCCTTTTACTAGCTGTCCGCTTCCCCATGTGCCTTAACGGCAATGTGTGCGCATGTGTGTGCATGTGCAGATGGGTACCGTACTATCTGGGTTGGAGTGCATTCTCCATCTTGTGGACAGTCATGCTTGCTTTTGAGATACGTGTCTTCACGGTTGGTGGAACTATTGCACAGGTATGTGTGTGTACTGCTCAGACATCTCTTTTGTGTATACGATTTGTTATCCCTTGCATGCACAAGTCATATCCCTGAAGCATTTCTCATTTGCATTGAGGAACTCATAGTGTGCTTCCATGTCACTGCTAAGGATGGTTCATCACTGTCCGCGCCAGACTTTCTCTCCCTTCACCGAAGTATGGCAACTACAACTGCCATACTCGGGGTGAAGACATTGCGAAAGGAACCAGACTGGAATACCTGAGAATAAGATGGAGCCAGGACCATGAAAGCCTGTTGAAAAGTTGGGGGAGGGGGGAAGGGAGGACAGAAATGTTGATGATGGCAGCTGAAGGCTGAATCCAGGTGGAGTGCTTGTGGTTTCCATTGTCTGCATTTCGGGAGTGGTGCGCAAATATTGTTGTTCAGGTTAAGGGCATATCTGCAAACATTCCAGATTAGGGAACATGTTGAAATGTGCGCACTGTATTCAGTCAGACGTAAGTCGGGTGGCAGGTGGGTAGCTGGGTAGCTGGGTGGTTGGCTGTGTGGAATGTGCAAGGGGGACAGAGGGCAGAAAGGGAGTTGGTAGATGGATGAGTGGGATAAGTTAATAGGTGGACAGGTAAAATAGGGCTAGGTGGGTGAGCGGGAGTGTGGAATGGATAGGACAGTGGGTCTGGTAGTGCTGAAGCGGTGAGAAGGGAGGTGTCCGTACAGCATGAGCATTGAGGAGACTCATTGTACGTCTTTTCCTGTATGTGTAATGAGAGAGAAACGTGTGCACACGCACAGACACCTTGTTTGTTGTGTTCGTTGGCGGATGAACAACTAGATTACTAATACATTGTGTACTATGTCTGTGTGTGCAATGTACAGTGGTACTTTGCAGATTATGGATCATCTCATGCTTCACTGTGCACATCCTTTGGGTGAGTTTTATGGAGCATCTGCAGACTTGATATTCCTTTGCTAGCTAGTATCATCAGGGTTTCTTTGAATCTTTCTATTTAAATAATTCAATTAATTGAATTTAATTCAATTAAACTGGAAAGAAAAAGAAAATGCGTTCCTTGTGAGCATGGCTCCAGTGTTCTCAGAGTTCTTGACACCTCGAGGACAAATAAAATTAATAAATTAATAAATTAATAAATTAAATTTTGTATTTTTTAATTTTTTGTTGGCCCGGCCGGGCAAGTGGCCCCGGGCCACTCCGGTAGCCTAGATATGTGAACAATGGGGTGTAAAACATTGTTTTGAGAGACACCTCCTCAAAATCCTATTATTTGAACTTGTAAAAACCGCAAACAATTTTCTTCTTTTTTTTCGCTGGGCTCTAGGAAGATTCTCACGCCCAGCCGGTCCTGCCCGGCTGGGCACCCGGGTCTGACGCCCGGGGTACCCGGGCATGCAAAAAAAAAAAGATTTTTTTTTTTTTGTTTTGTGCGCTCTCCCAGAGGACCCCAAATCCGGGCTCATTTCTTTTTTTGCGAGTTGGCTGTCAAGTGGGGGGGGAGGGGAGTATAAATGGGTTTGAAAGGGGCTAAAGGGGTTTAAAGATGGGTGCCTTAGTGTGATTCTGTTATTTCCTTTTTTATCTCCGATTCTGTGAGGAATTTTAATGTGACCCTGAGCCAAAAGTCGTTTGTATTGCAATTCTACACAACGTATTTTTTTCTCGGAATTTATTATAATTATTATTATTATTTTTGGCAAGGCTGCCCACAACCCTGCCCGGGGTTCATGCCCGGCCGGGCACCCGGGCGTGTACCCGGGCATAAGTTGGGTGCCCGGGTGCCTGGAAAAACGGCCTATGCTGGGCTATTTTTGTTTTTATTTATTTTTGTTAGTTTATTACTGGGTGCACCACATGGCACTGCACCGGGTGGCACATGTGCGGCTGCAAGTATAAGCGGGGCATTGAAGGGTAGATCTTGGAGTCCAGTTGATGTAGCTCAGTGGTTACAACACCGGTTGGAAATGCGCATTGTGGTATAAGGTTGCGGGTTCAAAACTCAATTGCAGCCTTTGCGCATGGACACCGGCAGGGCGTTAGAATGACGCACGGCCGGACACACACCCCCATGGGCTGACGCACGGTAAGCTTATACAGACACTGCCTGCGCACCACCAAAGGTGTTGTCCATGGTGTTGTATGTCGGGTCTTGATACTGCGTGGGTTGCTTGTGGCTGTTGCTCGTCGTTGTTCTGTTGATCTCCCCAGTCTGGCATATCACACACAGGGGCCGTTTGCGATTGTCGCTCAAATGGTAGAGTCTTCAGGTCACAGGTCATAGATCACGGGTTCAAGTCTGGCTTGGGACTTTGGGGGGGGGGTTCTTGTCCAGCTTGGCCTGTCATCTCTTCAAACGAACACATAGTTCCCTCTACGTAGTACTGCACATATCTGGCCTGCGGGCACACATATCTCGCTATACAGTTACACAGAGCACACATAGCCTTCGGGCAGACACAAAAACATGGCCCTATGGGCCCATACAAAACATACATAGCCTCTGGCCACACACATATACACACAACTACGGTACTGGGCTGGGGGGGTCTATCAGGTATATGACGGGGTCTACACATGCATGGCTTAGCTCTAGGGTAGGGTAGGGATATCAGGTATAGGACGGGGTCTACGCATGCATGGCTTAGCTCTAGGGTAGGGTAGGGATATAAGTCGCTCTGGCTAGTCTGAGTTCCGCCTAGCCTTGGGTAAGCTAGGGGAAGGACGGTAGGATGTGTCCGCGGGCGCTGACCTGCCTTGCTTAGGTGATTCTGCTGGGTAAACTCTCTGAATTGGGCCTGTAGAAGATTGCATGAGTCTGGCGTCCGAAGTTCCCGTACGGCAAGGTTCATCCGCTTCCGCTTCCATTAGGGCTGGGAGGTTGGCCCAGCCCTGGTGCTTGTCACTGCTGTCTGGTCCAAGTTGCCCTCAATACTGGTAGGGTGATGGTCCTGAGTGCTGGTCACACTGAGGTAGGATAGTAGGGACAGGGGTTGCGCTGGGAGTATTAAAGTGGCCTATCCTGTCAGGACAACCATTGGCTGCCGCTACCAGCAATCACCGCGGGTCTGGTCATTGGCCTCTACAGCACCCTGGGCTTAAAAAAAAAGAAAAAAAAAAAGAAGGGTAGATCTTGGAAACGAGTGAGGGGCCAAAGGGTGTATCGTTCTGCATTTTCTAACTGCTAAACCCACCGAGGCTTCTCAGTCAAATACCCTGAGCCAGAAGAACAGACCACCTTTTTTCTTATTTGTATTATTATTACAGAATTATCATTCAATTCAGCGAATTGAACTGGAACCTGGGACACCTTGCTGGAAATGAGGGGATGTGGCCAGGTCAGGCACCCACCCAGGCACGGCGGGGAGCTCAAAAGTTGAGGATTTCTGGATTTATTCTTTTAAATCATGGTAGGATTTCTGGATTTTTTATGCCCACCAAGATAAGCGCAGAGGCCGGCTGTTTTTTTGTTGTTTGATGTTTTAGGTTGGGGGAGGGGGTGAAATGGGGGTATAAATGGGGCTCGAAGGGGTGTATTAGGTGCAGTACGTGTAGCAATGTGTACCACTGTGCCTTAATTCGATTTTTTAATATATTCTATTTTGTGATGCTCAGGCAAAACTTTTTGCGTACTGCAGGTCTACACAACGTATATCGTTACATGTTTACAAATTTTTATAGTTTTTTTTAACTTTTTTTTTTTTTAATTTTCTGAATTTGTGCTGGGACCGTCGGGGACCTGCCACAGTGTTACATACTTGTGAGTGCTTCAACAAGTATGGGATGAACCAAGAGATCAACCAATATAGGACGAGCATGTATGCAGCGGAAGTCTGATAAATGGACTGACTCACACAGATATCACTCCACACACAAACAATCGTGAGATGGTGGGGTCTGAGCCAATCATGGACGATGCTCAGGCCCCGTAAACTCGTACACAGATGAAAGGTGGGAGGAGAGACGAAGGAGGTGGGAGATGTAGGTAGCGCCAGATGTGACCGAGATAGAACCCAGTAGGTCACCGATATGGTAGTCCAAAATGTCATCGAACAAGATCAAAATGCCGTGGACAATAAGTCACCAATGTCGGAGGTACAGAGTCCTAATGTAACCGGTGTCCAATCTGTGATGCTGCCGAGTATCAACCCCAACAATCTCCAAGTCTCGAATCGGGTAAGTACCACAGCCTCTTACCACCGAAGTCCAACACTGATCTCTGTCCAACTAGTATCAAGCCTCCAATCTGAAGAAGAAGAAGAAGAAGTCTGAAGAAGAAGAAGAAGAAGAAGAAGAGATGAGATGGCAGAGGAGGAGGAGGTGAGGAGGGGAGCCAGGACCGTGGAGGGAGGAAGAAACCTCGTCTCCTGGTACCTGCTGCTGCTGTCTGCGTCAAAGGCGGTTATGGCCGCTGTGCGCTGATGAACGCTGCCTGGCTCCTCTTCTCAGCGCTACTGCTGCGCTAGCTCGCGCTGCTGCTGCTGCTCCGCTCCTGCGCTAAGAATAGCGCTCTGCCTCAACCGATACGCACTGGCGCTGATGCAGCATGCCAGTGGCTCGATGCCTCAGAATGAGGCTGGACCGGTATAAGTA